TTTTTAAAAGACATTGTTTTATCTGCTACTAACACCTTAATTTATTAAAACGGAAAGTTTTAGATCTCAAATGCCAGTCACTATTGCTGTTTCTTTATTGTGTGCACTTACCACAGACCAGACAATGAAAATATATTTCTGTGTCAATAGCTGAGTTATGTCTAAAGTAGAGCTGGACACAATTTTTTTTCATGAAAAAATGCATTTTGGGGGCCCAAAATTATTCTGAATAGTTTCAATTTGCAATTTTTTTTGAAAGAGTTGAAATGTTTCATTTCAAATTTTAATTTTAAAATGTTTCATTTTGACTTTATTTGAAATGGCAGTTCAATTTCAAATTTGTCTAATTAAAAGACAAACCAGCAAATCATCTGAGAAACATCCAAAACAGATTAATTGAAATGAAAAACTCAATTTTCGTGTGTGTGTGTGTGTGTGTGGTGTTTGTTTCGAGTTGATTGAAAATGTTTTGGTTGATTCAAAATGAACTGAAAAAAAACAAAACAAAAAATCATAATATGGAACTGACTCAAAATGTTTCTGTCTATTCAAAATGTTTTTGAGATTGGATGCCAAAACTTTAAAAAAATTAATTTTGTTTTGAATCAAAACAGATTCCTCCCCCCATTTGGCCCTCAAAATTGGAAAAAAAAAATTCACTCAGCTCTGTTTATTACCTTGATAGCTAAGCTCCAAAAAATCACACATACAAGTTTTTGGCATAACTGGAAAGAGAAGATAGATCTCCTGGCTCACAATTCTGTGCTTTCATAACAAGACTATCTTTCCCCAAAAGGTGTGGATGAAGGAAAGGGGAAATTGGGATCCATGCAAAGAGAGATGGGTATATCAGGACCTGTAGAGCTTGTCATTGTCTTCTTTAAAACCTTGGATGGAACCACCAATTTTTTTAAAAAAGGAAGGGCATAGCAGCCGTCTAGCTAGAACCAGTCTAACAGTCTAGCTAGAAAGACTGTTCTGAAATTTTAGCTCTGATAATGTTTGCAAAATGTCAAAGTAATCATTTTTCATCAAACACTGTTTCCTAAAAAGAGAGATTCTGACTGCCTCCCAAACCACTAACAAGTTTGAAAAATGGTCAGAGATTGTTTTCCCTTAGGTCAAATGATTCAGCAACAAGAAAAACAGCACCATCCTATAAAAGTGATCTGTCAGGTCTCTGTGTTACACAAACTTCACTTTTCATATCTCAAAGCATTAGAGAATCACCTTTGAAAGTACTGTGTTTCAAACAGCAGCCTTGCTAGGCTGCCAGCAATTAATCTTTGCTTGTGGACAGTTCAGTTCAGGCACTGGGAAGAGTGCCTAGGGCAGAGGTGGGCAAACTACAGCCCACGGGCCACATCCGACCTGCAGGACCATCCTACCCAGCCTGTGAGCTCCCGGCCGGGGAGGCTAGCCCCCCCGGCCCCTCCCCCGCAGCCTCAGCTCGCCACGCTGCCACTGCTCTGGGCGGCGGGGCTACGAGCTCCTGCCGGGCAGCGCGGCTGGGAGAGCTGCCAGGTGTAGTGTATTAAATTGCTCCCCGTAGGAATGTGCTACTTACAGAGTACCAGGACTGGCAGCTGTAAGTGGTACACCATAAGTAGCACATTCCTACGGGGAGCAATTTAATACGCTATACCCAGGTAGGGAAGGCTGAGCCTCCCCAAACAGCCTGGCCCCCGCCCCTTATCCACCCTCTCCCACTTCCCGCCCCGAGTGCCCCCCTCAGAATCCCTAACCCATCCAACCCCCCCTGCTCCTTGTCCCCTGACTGCCCCCTCCTGGGGAACTGCCCACCCCCCCCATGGGACCCCACCCCCATCCAATCCCCCCCTGGTTCCTGTCCTCTGACTGTCCTGACCCTTATCCACACCCCCGACCAGTGACAGGCCTCCCACGCCTATCCAACTGCCCCCTGCTCCCTGACCCGACTGCCCCCTGGAACCCCCTACCCCTTATCCAACCCCCAGCTTCCCACCCCCTTACCTGCCACTCAGAGCACCAGGACTGGCAGCTGTAAGTAGTAAACTGTAGGTAGCACATTCCTATGGGGAGCAATTTAATACACTACACCAGCCCTCCATACAGTTTCGGAACCCCGATGTGGCCCTCAGCCCTTGCCCACCCCTGGCCTAGGGGCTAGAGTGAAGGAGTTGGGGATTAGAAGGATTTCTGCTTGAGGTGAGAGATTGGAATCAGACACGCGATCTACTCAGACCAAACTCCTATGGCCCAGAGAAGAGCTGCATAGGAGGTTTGTCATACTGCCATTCCTCTCTAGCCCTGCTTTTAGAGTCAGCTGGAGGCTGGAAAACATGGAAGGAAAGGAATGCTATTCAAGAGGAGCACGAGGGAAACAGCAACCAGAGGGAAACTGTGCTTCAATCTCCTATGTCTTGTGAGAGTGGAAGCACAACTCCTCTCTCATTATCATGACTCAATTAAGAAAGCCCACTCCACGCACATCATGATTCTCCAAATTCGTCCCCTGCAACCCATCACCATTCTGTTCAGTTCCATTCCTCCCTGCCATCCCCACATCCCAATTCAACCCCATGGCCACCACTTGGTGGTTCAACTCCCTTCTCCACCCACATCTGTGCTCACTCCCTCAAACCCCACATACGTGATAACCCTACTTCTCACAACCCCAGCACCCTCACAGCCCCAGTTTCCTCAAGGCTTCCCTCATAACCCTGATCCTCTCACCCTATACCACTGTGCACAGGCTAACTCCCTTCTCACGTCACACAGCTTGCCACGCAGTACGCAATGTCCCACACCATGCCTCCTCAGAGCCCCACTGTGACAGATCAGTATGTGTCTGCATGTCTATATCAATCTGCAACAACATTCTGATGCTTCAATGTTATTTTTGACTGGAAACTGTGCTGTGGCTTCCATCCTGAGCTGGGACACTCAGGAGGTGTTCGTAGAAATCCTTACCCCTAGCAGAGGGGCTCACAATGGGAAAGCCATCAAAATCCCTCAACCTCAATGATGCTCCATTCAAATGGGTCCACCCAGAACAATGGGCCGGCTCCAGTCCAGGGGAACTAGTTTTCCCAGTTTAGACCTAGGGGAGGAAAGGAGGAAGGCTGGAGTTGAGCAACTGATCACCTGACTGACAGGGCTTTTGAAGCTGCTTGAGGGAGTGACCTGATAAGAGGAGATCAGAACTTTATTTAAGGGTCAGTCCTTCTTGAGTCTGGGCTGTCTCACCAGCCAGCCATTGGCTAACAGGAGAGCTGAACAGGAAGAGTAGAGTGTAAAAAGGTCCTGGGATCTTGAAGGACATTAACCCAAACGGCTCTCGGAGTGATGATTGAAGGAGGTAGTTTTACGTACTGGTGTTTATTTTTTCTAGTTCTGTAACTCTTGTACTTTGCCTATGAGTAACTTGTGTATGCTTTAGCGATTCCTTTGCAAAGTCTGTGCTCTCTTGTTTTAACCGTCACAAGGTCCTTGAAAGGTTAAACAGTAAACACAAGCACCCATGAGTGTGGAGCTCTGGGAATGAAATTCTTGAACTACTGTGGAGATGAGGGTCAACAGTGGCCTTGGGCCTATGGCAGCTGAACTATGGGTTCTACTTCCCAAGAAAGGATATTAGACAGGTGGTCTGTACCCTAGGAGTGTGCCTGAAAAGCAAAACATAGAGGCTGGGTCTGGATGCTGCTCAGACTCAGTAGGCTTTAAAGCCCCTGGGATTCAAAGGCTTGGTCAATATAGCAGTCTGGTGCCCAGCCACAAGGGGGAGCTCAGCCAGGGTGTAACATTCCTCCGCATCCCCTCCAACTTCAGGTATCATCTCTGTATTACCTTCAAAACTAGATACTATTTTTCTGAAGAGTTTGTGTCATCTCTAATAGGCTATTTTAACAGATGTGTTTACAAAGACGGGACAGCTACCCTTCCTGAAATAATAAATGTAACTGACCTCTGGCCTGGATTTAACCTCTAGAAGCCTGGGGCCAAACTAAACTAAATCAATCTCCAAAACTAGAATCTCAGGCGATGATAGCAGGTGTACCAGGAGATGCAACAGTTAAAGTACCACCTGAATGGCTAATGAAATATTTCATCTCAATGTTTCAAAGCGAAACTATTATAAACGAAATAGTCTGCAAAGGCTCTGTACAGTAAAGAAAAAGTTATACTGTTTTACCTTGGTGGCCTGAGGAATCAACAGATATGCATGGGAACTGACAGCAGTCATCTGAAGTTAGGGACTGTCACACAAGAGATATCACACTACCTCCTGGGAAGATAATTTCATGTACAATGTAATATAACAAGCCTGCAGGCTGAGAGATTAGCATTACCCAGACTGTTCAAGCTATTTATCAGTCTTCCAATCACATTAAAGGTGCGGGTGACAAACTTTAAAGAGTCTTTAAACTTTTTACTGAAAAGATTCCTTAATGAGAGATAAATTAATGGACGTCAGCTAAAATAAGCTAGATACCCATGAACTGCTTGTCAGCAGAGAAGACACAGAAGGAAGAAGTAAATATTTAACTCAAACAGAGAAAAAATGAATTAGTAAGACACAAAAAGCTTCATCTAAACTGGAAGACTTTAGCAATAGTACATAGCTTTGAAATGAGCTAAATTTTTTCAGGTTATGCTCCAGCAGTTTATTAATTTGAGGGTTTCTAGCACTTAAACTATGTCTTAGGCCCTAGACAGTGTGAATAAAAGAAAGTTGGAGATCTGGTGCAATAAGCCAAAGTTGAACAAGCCAGCCAGTACGTCATTTTTAAAGGTTCAGAAATTACCTTTGCAGTTTGAACAAATCAACAGAGGTAATGCTGGTTATATAATTTGGGTATATAAATATCAGAAACATAGCATTGATAAGAATGCTTCAGTGCCCATTCTAAAGACTAGTTTGGAATTTACAAACGGTTTCAAAATAATGGGAGACAACTTAGCGCCTTTCAAAAGTGTAATAAAAATATGACAGATAACGAGACCAATCACATACATACATGAGCTGCTTGGACGACAGTGAGCCCCTGGGTACCGCCTGCCCATAGTGCCAGTCAGCACATTACCAGACGCTGTCAGCGGTTTTCAAAGTACACGATCGAAATATTTAACTGTGGGGGAAGAAAAGAACAAAACAAAAGTGAAGATTTAGTACAATGGCTGTATCGTTTTCATTAAAATGCTAAAGACCTCCACAAATTTAGGGTAACTATGTTTATAAATTATGTATAGTCATGTTGTCAGCAGAGATGACAGATTGCAAATTTATCATTAGTGCTCAGTCTCCATTAATAAGCATACATAAATTTTAAGGCAAACATCAATCGCACACGGCACCTTTTCACTGTAGCTTATTTTGATTGATGTCACAGACAGCGTAACCTAAGTTTCACGAGAGTTTTGCACACTTTGTTTAAAACTTGTGGTGCAGTTACGGTTAGTGACAATGATATCTTAATTCTGATAGAGCAATTTCTGAACAATAATAAAACTTTGCATTTAATTTCAAATTAGTTGAATATTTCAATAAAATTATGGAGTCTGTATTGGAATACCGCAGCTCTCTAAAAGATCAGAAAGAAGTTAGTCAAGCAGGAAAAGCAAAGCACAGACAAACGTTCACTTTGGAAAACAGAAATCTTGCCTCCAATACTGCTGAGTCAAATGTTGCTGAAACTGACAAGTATTAATATAAAACCTTTCAGTCTATAAATATCAGGGGTTCTGGAACAATTTGTATAGTGGGGGTGCTGAGAGCCATTGAACCAAACTGTAAACCTTCTATATAATGGAAACCACTTCAAGACAGTGGGTGCAGTAGCACCCCCAGTTCTAGCACCTATGACGAATAAACCTCCCACAATAAATAAGAAGCCCCATTGCTTTGATCCTTAGCTCAAGATTTCCAACTCCTCCTCCATCTGTAGATACTCCTCTGTCTATCTGCATGTTCATCTCCCAAGATATCTGTCAATAACCACCTTCTCACAACTGTATAATTTAAAACCAGGAAAAAAAAAAACCCAACAAAAAAAACCTCTTTTTCCCCCTAAACTGTAGAACAGAATCCTGTTTTCCCCCCCTACTACGTCAGGAAAGCTTTTGCTGCTTCAGGCTGAAGCTACATGCACTTACTGATTTCCAAAGGATACCTTAAAAGGCAGCTTCGTTTAATGCATAGGGCACAGGACTAGGGCTGGGGAACCACTTTCACAAATCTCCACACATGTCAGCTCCCTAAGGAAACTTAATATCAATTACTTCCTGAATTAGATGAGCTTCCTTTGCTGAAGGTGCCTATCACAGTTCAGGGCAACTCTATCTCCTCTCTATGGTCCCTTGACAACTTGAGGGCACGTAACTTTAGGCTCCTGACTCCTCAGCAGTCACCTCTTTTGGTTGGAGACTCATGTCTCTCCCTTCCTGAACAGGGTTTTTCCAGACTGCACAGTTCCCTGTCTACATTGTGATATCCCCAGCAAGCCAGACTGCCTAAACAGGCCAGCATCTGCACTTTGTTCTCTCTCCTCAGAGGTTATGAACAGCATAATTGCCTATAGTTTTAAGTTACCCCACAGCTTTTTCTGAACAAGTAAATTTATTCCTGAAGTGACAACATTACAGAGAGAACAAATTAAAACAATAAAAAAAGGACACATACGAATAAGCTTACCAGAGACCACCCCCCAACTCCAGAAGGGATTCTGGTAAGAGCCAGTCCTTCAAACATCACAAAGGGGTTTTTCTGTTGGTTACAAGTTCATAACAGCTTTTGCTCAGAACAAGCACACACACTAGGCAGATCAGCTTTTTTCTTTATATAGCCTTTCCTTTGATCTTCAGATCCTATAAACAGGTGATCAACAGACAACGGCCCCCTTCTCAGAGCATAGCTTCAAAAGGCTGGATTGCATAAGGGGAAGGGAGGGCAGGAGTTCACATTCACCTCCCCCTAGATATTTCCTTGGAAATCTCCTTCACAGGTATTGTCCAAAAACACAGCTGTTGTCTGCCACATAGTGCCTACGGGAGGGGGCAGCGTGCAGAGCCTCCCTGGTCGCCCCTCCGCCTAGGAGCCAGACATGCCAGCCTGTTCCTGGGAGCCACACAGAGCCGGGTAGGAAGCCTGCCAGCCCCATGCCAACTGGACTTTTAGACACCTGGTAACCCTATCTACATGATGGCAAGAAAGAGTAAACTTTACTCTTTTATTTTTATATAATCTACTCCCAAAGAAAATGATCTTTATAACTATTCTTCAGCATGTTCTGCACTATAATGTAGTTTCCTCAACAAAAACCCCCTTTCATGTGCTTCAAAGATTTCTATGGCTTAACTGAACCAGCCGATTAATTCAAAAATTGATTTGCAATACAAGTCTTGAATTTCCCCCCATTACATCCGTAGACTTTATAAATGTTAGAAATAAAATCTCAGAGAGAGAGAGCGAGATTTAAAAACTACACAGACGTCACACAGCAGCCCATTGTATCAACTGTCAGAAGCAGCATAAGAGGGATGACAAAAGTAACCCTCTAATGGATGCCACCAGAGATGATGCATTAAAACATGTGGTTTGAAGCCTTTTATAATTTAATTGATGGTTTTGACATAACAGTTTGTGAATGGAAAAAACAGAATTCTTCTTCCTTTCCTAATCCATTAATAATTCTTTCCCCTTCCTCAAAGGCGCAGCGTTCTGGTCTTTGGTAAGAAAAATAGCCCACTCATGAAATGCCCACAGGTGATTATAACTGAATACAAGAGATGGTAATAGTCAACAGCTCTGCAGGGATTATTCTTTTTACTTTATACTTAATAAAGTTATCTCGATACAGATGATTCTCTCCCCACCCCCACCGTCATTATTTACAATTCCTTTCGATGCCTTTAAAAAGAAACTTGCAGGGGCTTTGCGTAACGGATTGAAAATTGCAGAGTTTCTTTAGCTTTTATCAATAGATCCTTGTCCTATTCAGGAAAGCTGTAACTTTCTAAAACAATGCTACCTCCTAAATCATAACAAATATCCCTAAGCATTTTACAGCAGCAATACACTAGAGGTACTATTTTCTTTCCTTCCCCAGTGGCTGAAGCAGCATCACAGAGGCCCTCTGTACCCTGCTGTAATAACAGCTTTTAAAACATGCTTAAACTGTAGCACAGCTGAGCTAAACCAGAATGTAGTTTTCCTAACCACGTGGCCCCAAATGGGTCTAAACAATACTTAATTGGACTACTAACTGGAAAACTAGAGATCACAGCTGTGAACAAATATATACAGTGAACTCAATGGCAACAATAACATGTGTATTAAGACAGGACATGTATAGAGGATTCATTTGACTGTAATCGGAGATTTCACCAATTTTTATCTTAAAATGAAAACCGCACTGACTTGTTGCAGTACCTCACAGAGCTAAATATATGTATGCTAAATAATAATGTATTAGAGAATGAATTGTCAAAATACAATTTATTCTTCAGTTTCTCCATTCAGTAACTGAGATTTTTGCACTTGGAGTTACCATCTTAATGATACTGCACTGTGCTTTCCAGCAGGGATATGCCTAGACTAGGATAAATGCTCTTTTATATATTAACTACCAGGTTTTAAAACTTCAGTATAAACAGGGGAAGTTGATTTTTACCATGTTAGCTGGTCAAGGTGACCACTAGAGGTTTACCTCAACCAGTGTAGCTTGAAATACAATTTGCCCTGTCTACATTAGGGTGCTAAAACATGTTAGTTAAAACATGATCGCTAACATGTTTAAAAAACAAAACACCTGTCCTAGTCTACACACCCATTAGGCTGATCAACACAGATTTGGACGGAAAACCTCCAATTGTCAAATGAGCCCAAGCAATTGTGTATGTACTGTTTTGCATGTACACATCTTAGGTGCACACGTGTGTCTGAGGTAGGCACAGGAGCCCCAAGAAGCACGCAGACTCAGTGGGACCTGCAAATCAAAGTCAGGCATTCACAATGTTACCAGTTCTAGGGCAGCAGTCTCCTGTTTTTTAATGGATTCTTGTTTATTATGCTTCAAACACTATTATAAAAAGCCTATGTAGCAATCTCCTGTTTTTTAATGGATTCTTGTTTTTAATGGATTCAAACACTATTATAAAAAGCCTACGCAGGAGAGCAGAGTTGCAGCAGAAGCGGTGGTTCGATGATGACGGTTAGCAGTCCTACTGCACCATCTGCTGAAAGCAGTACGGCATCCACACGGAAAAAAGGCGCAAAACGATTGTCTGCCATTGCTTTCACAGAGGGAGGGGAGACTGACAACATGTACCCAAAACCACCCACGACAATGTTTTTCTCCCATCAGGCATTGGGAGCTCAACCCAGTATTCCAGTGGGCAGCGGAGACTGCGGGAACTGTGGAATAGCTACCCACAGTGTAACGCTCCGTAAGTCAATGCTAGCCACGGTACTGTGGACGCACTCCGCCGACTTAATGCGCTTAGTGGGGACACACACGATCGACTGTATAAAATCGCTTCCTAAAAAAATCGACTTCTATAAATTCGACCTAATTTCATAGTGTAGACATACGCTTATACTTCTCTGTAAACAGATATAATTGTTAGAGTATCCTTTATTACAGCTCTTCTTTAAGGAGTGTGCTGCTTTTGTTCTGGATGCCGAAATAATTATTTTCTCACCTTTCATGATGACCTTATCTTGGCTCTCTGGAAAGTGAGTAAATATTTTCAGGGAATGATGTTGATAGTAGTCATGCAACATAAGCAAGTACAGCAGACAACCGAAACATACATAATGCATATCATTTTATCCTGGCTATGGAGGTGAGCGCCTGAAGGCAGTATGCACTTCACCTGAGTGCCAGTGTGTTACTAACAGCCTCAGTGACCAAGCAATCCACCACCAGTCATCACAGATAATGAGGATATAAATCAGCTTGACAGGAATTCTTCCCCCTCAGACACATTTAAGTTGGTGCTATCATTGCTACTTCAAATCTTGTCCTCTTCATAAGCAGTTTCCTTTACATGCTCCCAGCTTATCATTGCAGCTTTCTTATTTCTTCATTCCTCATTACATTTTTCATGGCAGCTGCAAGAGCATTTAATT